GGCCGGCGACTTCTCCCGCTCAGGCGGCCGGGTGCGCAGCCCCCCGCCTGCTGCCAAGCCAGATGCGGGGCGCACGGGGGGAGCCGTTCGCCCAGGGCGCCGGGTGACCGCAGCAAGCGAGCCGGGATAGCCCCGGGCTGCCCCGCTTCTGCCCGCTAGAGGGCGCTCCGCCACGGGCTATTAAAGAGCCCCCCCCCGCATATTTGTAGCATGGTTATAGGCAGCGTCCAGGGAGTCCCTGCCCCTGGGCTTGCTGGGTCCTCTGGCTGCATGGACCCCAGGGCTTAGCCTCCCCTTTGCACCTGCCCAGTCAGAGGGCAGGATCCCCCCCCTCCCCCCAGAGGGGAGAGGCTGCTCCTAGGATAGAGGAGGGATGTGGACTGCAACCCTGGACAGTTAACCCAGGCGTTAACATTCACAGTTACACACAGGGTCCCGCTACACCGGGAATCAGTTTAGAAGCCAGCTCCCTGCGCACACCGGCTCCTGGGGAGCCCCCGGCCGCCCTGCGCCCAACCACAGAATTTTCTCCACGGGTTACTTATTTAACCATCTCTAGGACCAAGGCCTTCCTGCAAGCTCTCCTGCCCGGAGCTTTCGTTTATTACAGAACAGCTCCAGCCCAGGGGCACGCCAAGGTCCTTGAGCTGGGAGAGCCAGATTTCATTCATTTAGTAGCCGCTCCTGGCCAGCAGGTGTTTTAATTAATTAATCATAACCAAACCAAAGAAACATCTCCCAGAGTCAAATCCTGTGTCAGCAGAAATCAGAGGCTTTGGCTACTGCTCCCCCTCCTTGTCCCTTCTAGGGACTGAGTCACTAGCAACCGATTAAGCATTCCGGGCACTCTTTCACTCTGGTCCAATTTCCTGCCCGCAAACAAATGTTTCTAGGAAATGCAATACATTACAGGGATGGGTTTATTATCAGTATTTGTAACCAGGAAAACTGCATATCCCCTCTGGCACTGCAGGGGGCCACAGAGACCGTGGATATCTTCCTTTGAAGATTTTAAACGGGTTGCAATTCTGAATCCAGTTTCTCAGCTGCACGTTACAGTTTTCTTCATTTAAAAATAAAAAAAGGAAGGGAATACCCTTTCAAAATCCTATTTATAATGCCACGATCTTGCTCAGCATTAATGAAGCGGGAAAGTCACTAAGCATCCGTGGGCAGTGAGGAGTCAAACTTTTTTGCCCCCCAATGCATCCGCATGAATCAAGTCTACACATTAATTTTTAAACATGCATACAGAGAGGTTATTTCAACTGAAGTCAATGGAGTGACACTAGGGGAAAGGTGGGCCTTTATCTCAAGCATCATCATGTACTGTTTAAAGTAGCTTAAAAAGAATACATTACCATAACTGCAACTTTGGACTGTGGGTACATCCTCAGGTGTACTGCAGCTCTCAGACCCAGCAAGTAAATTTAGCCCTCGCCGCTGCTTCTAGTGGCCGCTAGCACACATTACATTTGTTTAAAATAAGAGTGTATTTTGGGAAGATGCCATGTAAATTATCTTACAGAACACCCAGTGCTGTGACTCAGGGAGAAATCTCTCTCCCGTGTGAGCAATTCTGTAGTGCATTAATCCAGAACCTCCCTGTGTTGTGGTAAGTACAATTCATGTCTTCATTGTGTCTGACTGACTAGTAATAACTGTAATTGGAGGTGAAAAGACTAGCCTATTACAAAGACCGGAGAGAAAGCCAACCATCAACCACTATTCCTCCCCTTCTAGGAAATCAATTTCAACTGAGGTTTTGAAATGGTCAGAAAGGCACAACACAAACCTTAAACTTTCAGTTTCCAGCTGTAAATGGAAATGGAGAAAAATCTTGTGCATAGGGCAATAAAAAAAACAAAAAAACAAAAAAAGCACACGCACACACACCCCAGCATTGCCTAAATTGGCCGCCTAAAAAAGTCGAGTCTCAAAAAGTTTACTAACATTTAGATGCTTGGGGTCACCCTAACGCCAAACCTTTTGAGATAAAACTGTCCAACATGGAAGTGACAGGCTTTGCAGTAGTTTTACTAGTCACTCAAGAATTGTTTAAAACTAAATCAGTACAAAAATATGGGAGTTCTTAAAAGACGGGTCTTGATTACAGATCCCCAGACTTCACTACAAGCCAGAATGAAAGATTGAAAAGGAGGGACTCTTGTCAAGTCAAATTTTCTCCAAATTTAGTTTTTAAACAAAATGTTCCAAAACATAGGAGCCACTATTTTAAAAGCTCCAACTATAAACATCCCCGAGGCAGAGTTTGCATGCCAAATATTGCAGCACTGGGAGCTAAAAATGTTTTTTCCTTGTTCAAGAGGAGAAATATAAACAAGTAACTTGCATATTTAAATTATTTTCTCTCTCATGTAAAGCTCCAGCAACACATTAAAAAAAGTTGTTTGAAATAGGATTTTTAAAACTTGGCATTAACTCCTTAATTAAGTTTTTCCACCTGCATTTACACTGGTGTTTGGAAAACACCTTGACAAATACTATATTTAAGACTTTCATATAAACTAGTAGATTTGCTGGTATGTGGGATGTGACTGAAATCTTAAAAAAAAAAAAATACATAATGTTGTGATACACGACAACCTATGTTAGGCAAAGATTCAGGGACAGTAGATAAACACCACAGATAGGAAATGTTTTAGATGGGATTTCATGAAAATATCCAGACAAGAGCTCTAGATAGTGATATCAATAACATTTTAATAGGTACTTGCTTGTTTTCAGTTGGACTAGTCAATTAGTTTGTGGCATGTGTCTATATTCTTCGTTGCCAATTTTTGACTAGGTAGCAGGTTTTTTGGAAGTACTGTATTCAGCATGTTTTTGGATTTTCCCAGCTTGACAGATCAGCTGCAACCAGCAAAAGGAATTTCCAAGGAAACCACTAGATGGCACCCTTTAGCTTTGTTGTATAAATCTTAATTTTCCCTCAGAAAATAAGACACCCCTGTCCAGGCAGAACATATAATTTTGTCAATGTAATTCTGTTCCTCTTAAAACACGTCTGAACAACATTATTATTTTTACGAGCGTTTCCATCCAAACTTAATGTTTCTGCTGGGCTTATTTTAGACTCAGAAAGAACTCTTAAAAGTCCTCAATATTTAGACAAGCCGAGAATGCTAGCAAAATTCAACAAAAAAGCATCATACATGCTTTTGGAGTTCTCTTTGATAATCATCTCTCATTCAGAGTTTCTTCTCTTTAGAATAAAGAGTAATCAGTGAAATGTCATTTCTTCTCTGATTGACTCAGGCAGTCAAAACAGGAGGGTGAAGGATGGAATTGGAATAGAAACACATCACTAGGGATCTTTGGCCTATTTTGCCCCTAAGTATTGAGAACTTTCCTAGCCATGAAGTCTGGTCTTCCTGGAACAATGAAAGAATCCATTCTTCTCCAAGATCCTTACACAGCCTTTCAATATTTTAATCACCGATTACTTGACAAAAAGAAGCATTTGAGGGCTTCTCTAAATGATAGTTTGCTGGTTGTAAAACACAGACAGTTGTAATGCAGACTGCAGGTCTTGCTCCATGAGAAAAAAAGTTTTGCCTCAAAATAGTTCTGAAGGGGTTTCTTAGCTGTAAAACAAGCCCTTCCGACCTGCTGGAAGGAAGCTGGCATTTATTCTGAAAGCACTTCACCTTCAATACAATATTGCAATAATTATTCAAGTTTTAAAACCTCAGGACAAGAATCCAGATGGATCTGATGACAGGCTAAGGGCCCAATCCTGGAGTCAGGGAAAACCTTTTCTGGAGCCCATGAGAATTTTGCCCCTAGTTAGAGGTTGGAGATCACCATTCTAGATCTCCTGAACTCCCAAACCAAGTTACTTGCTGATCCTGCATGCAGTGAAGTCAGTGGCAACACTCACTGATGTGGGCTTTTTTTTTTTTTTCCATATTTGCTTTTTAGATTTTTCAGACCAACCCCTTGTGTATAAACACACTCAGATCTTGGGCAGAATGCTTTAAGAGTCAGATTCAAACAATGGAAGAGAAGCCACCAATTGTCAAAAATGGAGGATTATTTTTTATTTCCCTCCCCTCCCTCCTGGGCAATCAAGTCTATTTCATAATATTGTAACAACAACATTAACCCCCCCCCACACACACACACACCATACACATCCAAAAAGCGATTGATTCCCTCTCCGACCGACAGAGGTCGCTGCTACTCCACACGCCACAATTTAAACCACTAAGTTTTCACAACAAACTCTTCTCCTCCCCCCACCTTTTTTTTTGGGGGGGAGGGGAAAGTATTTTGACATCAAGTCACATCTGTCATTTACACAACAAACTAACTGGAACTCTCAATTAAAAAACAATCAGAGAGACAGTACGGATCACCTTTCCCTCTCCATCCCTCCCTCTTCCATTCCCCCAGCAGAAGCTATTTTCTTGGACACATTCCTGTGAAGGAGGCACTGCTGCCAGTTCAAAATAATAATCCTTTAAAGAAATTAACAAGGTTAGGTGTGAGGAAAACGAAACCTCCCCTCTGAGGGCCCTGGAGTTTGATTGTCTTTCTCCTCCGGCTTTTTCCTTACAGAAAGCAGAAGGGGTTTTGCTCTCATTTTCAACGGTCAAACAGCATCAGCAACCCCTTGACAAGATCCCATGTGTCAGCAGGCATCAGTTCAGCCTGGCTGGGGGAGCTATAGATTTCTAAACTCCCCTCCCCCCGCTTTAATCCAACACCCTCCCCCAACTACACACACACACAAAGTTGGCTAGTTTGCACCTTGCATGAAAGCAGAAGGGGTTTTGCTCTCATTTTCAACGGTCAAACAGCATCAGCAACCCCTTGACAAGATCCCATGTGTCAGCAGGCATCAGTTCAGCCTGGCTGGGGGAGCTATAGATTTCTAAACTCCCCTCCCCCCGCTTTAATCCAACACCCTCCCCCAACTACACACACACACAAAGTTGGCTAGTTTGCACCTTGCATGGGTTTGCAAAGCTTTGAGATGTCTCCTGCTTCTCCTCCAAACTCTCCCCCCTCCCCTTTTCAACAAACCCGCTTGCTCCTCTTTCAGCTGAGCTGCTACCTCCAGGAATAGCGTGTGGAAAGAGGCCAGGGCTGCAAATTCGAGCTGGGGTAGCCAAGGGGGAGGAAAACAAAGGGCACTGTCCCTGGCTACTGTTTTATTTTAAACTGTTTATTTAAAAAAAAAAAAAGTCTACAGGAAGAGGGCAGCCCGCGTCTCCTGGCATTGCAATCCGGAGCCATGCGCGGTTTGTGTTTACATTCCGCAACAGCAAGGGGCGGTGGGACTTTAATGACACTCCTCAACTAATTGCAAAGCCATTCGAGATCGCCCGGGTTTCCTTTAGTCCGAGTGCGGAGGGCAGAAATTATTTCGCCGGGTGGGTGGACTTGATGATAATCCAAATCTTTTACAGCTCTAGAGTAAATCAGTAGCCAGATTTTTTTTTAAAAGTCTCTTTAAAGCACATACGTCTGGGTCAAAAATGCTTTTATTTCCCTGTCTCCGGGCAAAAATCCAACCTAGGGTAGGGCAGTTATTCTAGGAAACACACACACACACTACTCTTTTTTTTAAAAAAGCAGAATAATGGACGTTGTCCGTTCAGGTATAAGTAAGCGTCGATCCAAGAACCAGACAGACACTTTGCACAATTACTTTTGGATCCCCCTGAAAAAAATCTCCCGCCAGGCATATCCAGTCATCCTCCTTGTGTTCCAACCTAGGGTAGGGCAGTTATTCTAGGAAACACACACACACACTACTCTTTTTTTTAAAAAAGCAGAATAATGGACGTTGTCCGTTCAGGTATAAGTAAGCGTCGATCCAAGAACCAGACAGACACTTTGCACAATTACTTTTGGATCCCCCTGAAAAAAATCTCCCGCCAGGCATATCCAGTCATCCTCCTTGTGTTGGCAGAACCGGCCAGCCACAAGTGGCCAAATTCGCTAGCCCCTTTGCAGTCATCTAGGTGCATTGGATTAGGAAGCGGGGGACCCAACATACAAGCACAACCGAGTTACGGTGTCAACGCCTCCCCATCAGCGTCTGGAAATAAAATCCGGACTATTTTAACCCCCCCCC